TTTTTTTTTTTTTTTTTTTTTTTTTCAATGTATAGAATCTCTCTCTCAATTGTATAAAAAAAAAGTTAACATTATGGTAAGTAAAAAAAGATATTGACTTAATTATTCAACAATTCTCATACAATGAGAATTGCATATTAATTATTTCGAGTATTCAGTGCACAATGGCTCGATGTAATCTATCTAAAGCTCTAATGGGGCCAAATTATTTAACTAATGTAAGTCGACAAGACGTCTTTTTAAGGCGTTCTCAAAGAGATATAGAAAATGGCATAAAAGAATAACCAATTTTTGACATATACTATATGATGTCCTCACTGCCAAACATACCATTCTATGTAAGATAGAAGAGAAATGAAAAATAAAATAAAAAGAAAAAAAAATAAATAAATAAGGGAAGAAAAAAAAAACAATCGTGCTTGTGCTAACCAAGAGAGCATCTTTGCTCGCTAAATACCATGGGAATGATGATGATGATGATGATGATGATGAGAACTCGACTGATTAGTGTACGCGTGCGCTAATTTTACTATAATGAGAACAAGTTGTCAGCTGCTAAGTATTTAATTCTTAAGAAGTGTGATTATTTTTTTTACAATGAAAATATATATTTTCCTGTATTATATGAAATGCTTGCTTTGATGATCTCAGTAACCTAGCCTTTTGCTAAATGAATTTAAATTTAAACGGATAGGATATATCATATGAGTGTGAGAGAGAGAGAGGGAGGGAGGGAGGATTTATTATTAAATTTTTATAAGTAAATAGAAATTAGAAAGGGTATAGGGTACTGAGATGATTGTTTGCACATGGAGACTGATGCTTTTCATATAGGTAAAATATATATTTATATATATATATATATATATATATGATTTAGAATTAGATTCCCATAGCGTATTATACGTAAGTTTGTATGAATGTATGTATGAGCTTGTATGAACGTGGACTTAAACTTACATAGGACAAGAGAGAGAGATTTATGAATGTGGTATTTATGATAGCGTTCGTTGCTGATGCATCGTGAAAACGAATGATGTATATAAGTGGGGGATGTTAGGTCATTGCATATAAACGTGTTTATATATATATATTTATGTGTATATACATACATATAGATATTTACATATAAATAGATATATATGTGTATATATATGCACAGGATGCATATACACATAGACACACACACACACACGAACACATATATATATATACTCGTGCGTAATATATACATACGTTTATATGCAATCAAAATTATATATTTACTTGCTGTTGCATTGGAACTTATATGAATGACCGTAATCTATTGAATTGGAACGTTAAATGTAATAGTTTTTTCTATTACACATATGTAGCTTTTAAGCTGGTTATTAAGGAGTGTAAATGAACGAGTTTTTTCAAGAGATTAATAATATAAAAGAAAAAAAAAAAAACATGCTTTATATATATATATATATATCTTTAAAAGATGTGTTGCATTATGAAAAAGAAAAAAAGAAAAAAAGGAAAAAGGAAGAGGAGGAAGAAATGGAAAAGCTATATTATCGGGGAACGTTTTTTTCGAATTAATATAATTTTATCTTTTCTATTTTT